GCAGGAAATGCAAAAACAGTGACAAAAACAGTGAAATTTGCTATCTAAGCAATGATATGCATGCCAATTTTAAACTACAATAAGAAGCTAGACCCTAGGATGTTTTCTAAACATGCCAAGCATGATAACCATGCTCTGATACCAAGATGATGTGAAACCAGGAATTTGAATCTCAGAAAATTAATGAAAGTTTGTTGAAGTAATGAAAGTTCATTCTTAATGATTTTCTTAATTGAAACTTCAAGAGAGATCTAAGAATTTAACCAAATCAAGGCAAGTCGTGCTGCTAAATTAGCAAGAAATTTTAAAATAACAACGACAATAAGTAGTAGTGCAAATGAGAAGCCAACGAGAATCCAACGGTTAACAAAGCGATTGTCTCACCTTGAGGCTACGCTCATTTATCTACTTCTAGGGTTGTTGGAAAAAGAATAACCACACGAGAGATGAAACCACTCCGAGGGCAACGGTGCCGACGATTCGTAGAGGTGGAAAGGGCAAGGGCGGCGGTGGAAGTGGTCGGCGGCTTACAATGATCCAACGTCCGGTCGCGATGTGCTCCTCAATTGATAGTGCTAATTGGTACCGGATCCGGTTGAGGTAGTTGTTGACCGTGACATCCCAATCCGGTTAAGGATCAAAGAAAGGTGAACGTAGGATGTCGGTTCTCCCGTTGATGTCCTCTACAAATCCATGATCAACTTGTGGGTCCGCCATTCATGATTTTGAAGTGAGGATGGGGTCGGCGCTAAAAGCTCTCCAATGGGGGGAAGAGGGGCTGGCGGTTTGTAGAGAGGATGGGGGAGGCTGGCGGGAGAGAGAGAGAGGGAGGAGTGGATGTGGTGAAGCAAAAAAAAAAACTGAAGTTCTATTTCAGTTTTAGGAGAATTAGGAGGGAAGAATATTGGTGATTTGAATTCCCAATTAAGTGCATTAAAGGCATTAATTGAAAATCAAATATTGGGAGGCCAAGGGAGGGCCGGCGGCATTAATAGAGGAGCTAGGTTTGGAAATAAAACTGAAATAATTTCAGTTTTAAGTGAAATTGGAGGGATTTATTTTGAAATTTAAAGTTTGAATTTCAAAATAAGGGAAGGGTTTAATTGTGCAATTAATGGAGCCAATGAAGAGGAGGGGGCCGACGGCATCAAGGAGGAAGAGGAGAATTAGGGATGAGGTGGGGGTTTCCAAATCCGGACGATGACTAGGAAAATCTTGTCTCATGAATCCAATTTCATTTGATGTGAAATTGAATTCAAAGTTCGAAAACTTTTCTAAAATGGATTTTCCAAATTTGGAAATAATTTGAAATTTGAAAATCAAATTCCAAGCGAGGTCATGAGGGGAAGAGATGGTGGGAGGTTGGGGCTGGAGAGGAGCCGGCGGCAAGGTGGCCGGCCAGTGGGGATTAAAGTGACCGACAGGTGGGGTGTCTCAAGGCGGCAGCAAGAGGGGAGATGGCTCGACTTCTTCCAAATTGATGGTGTGGATGGTGTCGCTTGTGGATGAGGTGAAAATCAATGGAAACTAATACTAGGAGAACTCACAAAGAGATCTCATGCGAAGAACTCACTAAGAGATCTTTGAACTCACAAAGAGAACACACAGTGGAAATTTTCATTCATCAATCAATAATCCAACAATACAAAGATCAAGCCTTTATATAGGCTCAACAAACATAAGGAAAATAAAAGACGACATTGCCCTTGGGCTACAACAAACACTAACTCCCTCATAGGGGTACAAATGGAAAAACAGGAAATACAAATAACATGAATAAAATAAAGCCTCAAAATAAAGCTGTTGAATCATGGCCGTCGCTCGACGACCCCTCCAATGGTACGTATGTCAGAATCTTCTGCGGATGTCCTCATCACTAAAACTAATATTATGAGCATAATTATAGTATATATCATATGCTTTCTTCTCACAATTATAAACACCCTGTGTATAAGAGAAAAAACTTCATATCATTGAATATAAACTTGTAAACAATTCAATTAATAGCAATACACAACAATACATAACTAAATATATAGCAATACACAACTCGGTACGCAACAATACACATCAATACACAGCAATACATAGCTCAGTACATAATAATACACAGTAATACACAGCTCAATACATAATTTTATACAATAGTACACATTAATACACAATAAATACATAGATCAGTACACAACAATACATAGCTTAGTACACAGCTCAATACATAGCAATAAATAGCAGTACATAGCTCATTACACAACAATACATAAAAATACATAATTATACAAAGGTTAATATACAACAATAAACAATAGTGCACATCTAAATACATAACTTAGTACGCAGCAATACACAACAATACACGTCAATACACAATAATACACATTACATAACAATATACAACAATACACAGTAGTACGCAGTAATACACAATAATACATAGTAATAAACAACAATAAACAGTAATACATATCAATACACAGTAATACACACAATAGTACACAACTCAATACATAGTAATGAATAGTAATATATAGCTGTGCATAGCAAAATGCAGCTAAATACATAGCAATACATAACAGTGCACAGCTAAATTAACAGTAATACACATCAGTATACAACAATACACAACTCAATACACAGAAATACACAGCTCAATATAAAGCTCAACATAATGTTTATTAACAAAAAATAAACACATTTGCTATATAATTTCCCTATGTATTGTTATAAGCTTTTATATAAGATTATGCACTGCAATACATAGCAATACATGGTGTGTATTAGGAAAAAAAATTTAACATAATTTTACAAATACACATAATTTGAATAATACACCCTAAACCCTGAAAAATTATATATTTACATTAAAACTCATTACATAACAAAAACATGCTTCTTCACGGCGTTTGATATATAAATAATTGAAGAGCACACTATAAACCCAAAAAATATATATATATATATATATATAATAATAGGAAACACAATAAAACTTTGGAGGAGTTTAAAATTTACAGATAATAACCCTAATTTTTCTCCTAAGGTTGGTTGTAGTAGCTCTTCCTGGATGTTTAGCAAACCGTCTTAAATCTCTTCGGAGAATGCATCGTTCTCCAAACCAGTTTCATCTTCTTTGCCTATCTTATTTTTATTTATCTTTTTTTTTCTTTCTAAGCGGGTAAAAGGTGATATTCCGCCCGCCCAAATACTATATACTTGGGCTCTTTTTCGAGTTTCTTTTTTAAAAAAGGTAAAACGAGTGTCTGAACTGGGATGGGTCGTCGGGTCGTAAGAAACATAACAAAAATATTAAATATCCACATGTTAGGATTTTATTAGAGTCCAGACGTAGAGTTACATCCGAACTCCACACAAAATAATTTCTCGAGGGATGGAAGGACAATGGTAATGCTAGACAAGATAGTTGGATTTCAAGGATGAGTGCAGCAATAATAGAGATTTTTGACAAGTTTTTTTTTTTTTTGATTTAAAAAATAGATTTAATTAAATAAATACATAAAGACAAAACTAATGTGCATTAACTTCTTGCACAATTTTTTGTTCTCATAACTTTTTTCTTGCCTTGAGTATAAGCAAATTTTGTATTTGACCTTAGTACATTAGAAAGGGCAATATATCCCCCCCTTTCCGAGTAATTTTAACATTTATGATTCATCTACACAAGACATTTTACAATACGGGCAATAATTGGATTTTGATAGTGATCGATGTGTTTCAAATTAGGTATTCATGACATTGCATTTGTGGTCCATTATTTTTGTCTTGTTCAATTGAATCAATAATGAGGGTTCTTTTCGATAATCTCACACTCCAAACATATCGACACAATCTACTTTGAGAATTGAGCAATGTTTAACTAATTTTAGAGTTTGCATGAAGCATTCTCCTTGCGAGACTACTTTTGTTGTTGTTCATCATTTTAGTTAAATTCCATCAAATCAAGTTATGGGATTTATACGAAAGTCAACAATAGATTGTCATTTCATATGGGATGCACACTTTTCATGGAAATTGTCACTCATGTTTCCAATCATGAATAATGGAAGATATCTTCACTAAAGCTAAAGGTCACACACATTTTTCTCATTTATGTAACAAGTTAGAGCTAACCAATTTATAAGCTCTAGCTTGAGGGTGATGTCGCATAAAAGCTAGGTTCCTTGTATTAGAAAGTGAATATATCAAAAGAAATATGATTTATATCCTCATAATTAGGATTATTATTCTCTTTTATTTGTTTCCTATTTGCACTATCATGATGCATATTTATAAGCATGTATTATTTAGTCAATAACACAAATTTGTTTTCTCTTAACAAAGCCAAGCGCATGATATAAAAATGAAGTAAAATGCATTTACCACTCAATTCATCGAAACAATGAAATAGAATTTGATGTTTGGAAAATGGGAGTCCTATTTGTCACCAACCTAAAAGTATATAAAGTTTTCATAATTTCAACTTATAGACAGAATTGCATAAACAAGATTTCGAATAAAAAAATATTGCAAAGGGAAAATTACCACTTCTTTTTATATAAGATGAACATTTATAAATAAAGTTGGGTCCTCTCTTTCTAAATTAAAAGAAAAATGAAATGAATTATGCTCTTGGTAACAGCTTAACTTGAATTTACATCTAAAGTGATTTTATGGTGCCAGCATGGTATAACATACAGAGGATATATTATAATGGTTGTCATTGTTTTAGGATCCATCCCTCTAGGGAGAAAGCATAAAGAAAGATAAAAAGGAATGCAATATAATTGCTTAGTAAAATAGAACTTTCAGAACTTAAATTTCAAGTGATTTAGGTTTCATTTGGGGGCAGCTTTCCTACTGCTTCTTAAATCCGTATTTTAGAACAAAAATTAATTAAAAAAATTGCTTTAAGAAGCAGTACGAAAGTTGTCACAAACAAAGCTTTAGTTATTGAGATATGAGAGAATAAAAATCAAATGCTAAATCTGAGCAAAAGATATCACCTTAGTAGGTAGTCAGCAACAACATATTCCAGTGCACGCATAGCACTATGCCTTTAATGATGTCAAAATTGGTTAGGTTCTGCATTTCTATCAATCTAAAAATGATCTAATCAAGAAGTTTCTCCGAGAATCTTATACTCGACTAATTTTTTTTGCAGTGTGGCTGCTCCATCTAAGAGACCAGAATCAGCAATGCCCTTAACCAAAGATTCATAAATTGCTTTACTTGGCTTAGCACAACTAGATACCATCATATCCAAGACCTCAATAGCTGAATCCAACTGTTGATTCCTACATAACGCTTGTATCAAAACAGTGTAAGTAGATCCCCTAATCCTGCAATTGATCCTGAACATCTCCTTCAACATTTGCATGGCCTCCTTCACCATATCTTTCTTGCAAAACCCTACTACCAGCGATCCGTATGTGATGTCATCCGGCGTGATACCATCACCAATCATTTCATCAAACACCACCATTGCTTTCTCTATCTCACCATTCCTTGAAAATCCATCAATTAATATGTTATAAGAGATCAGAACCAAACTAATATCATTTTCTCTCATATATTGAATAACATCTAAAGCCTCCTCTGTCATATTTTCTTTACACATTGCTCCAAGAAGAGTATTATACGTGATTATATCAGGACAGCATCCCTCAGATACCATATTCTCCAGGATATCTATGGCCTGATCTAGTAGTTGATGTTTGCACAAATTATTGATCAAGATATTGTAAGTAACAACTGATGGACGATAAGAAGCCTGCTTCATTACTGATAGAACATGATCTGCTTCAACCCATTTACCTTGGCTGCAGAGACAATGAAGCAAAGTATTATATGTGATTGCATTTGGCTCCAAACCATACTGCAAAAGAGCTTGCATAACTATCATTGCATCCTCAAATTTCCCCTCTTTACATATCACATTTAAAAGAGAGTTGTAAGATACTATATCTGGATGGCACCCTTCTAGTGACATATCGCCTAAAACCTCCATGGCTCTGGAAACCCCACAATGTTTGCAAACGAGTTCAAGAAGCACTGTGTAAGATATTAGATATGGAGGATAACCTTTTCTCAAATGGCTTCTCCAAAACCAAATAGCTTCCTCATACCTTCCTTCATTAAACATGCACCTGAACAATGTATTGAAAGTTATGACATCTGGAGGACAACCAGTAAAACTCATATCTTCAACAAGATTAATGGCAGAAGCAAGTTGCCCTCTCTTGCAATACCCACCAATCAATTTGTTGTAAGTGATTATATCAGGGATTCCACCTGACATAACCATGACTTTAAGAACTTTGCAAGCTTTCTCCACTCTTTCGGCATTTACTAATCCTCTGATCAGGTTTGCACAGCACTCAAAGTCAGGGATCTGCCCATATCGTGCCATGATATCAATAAGACGGCAGGCTTCAATCAGCTTACCGTTCTGACAATAGTGACATAAAATGTTGTTGTTGGATCCCTCATTGTAGTTTAAAAAATAACCATCAGGAGAAAATGCAGTTCCATTCTTCTTCATAAAGCTCATAGCTTTGGAAGCAATAACTTTTCCAAAACTGTTATAGTTGACTTTATTCCCATTATTTACCTCTGAGTAAATAATATTCTCCTGTGGAGAAACATGCACAACAGCCTGGGGGGTAACAACAATTTCCTGCTTTATGGAGGGTTCGCTTCTGGGATTATGAAGGTTCGGGTGATTATTCATGTAAACTGCAGCAGATGTCCTAAACAAAAGGCGTCTCGAACTATGATCATGCTTTGAGCAAGATGTGAGTGAATGAATTCCTTGGAAACAGTGAAAATCGCTTCTAATAGACATGGAGCAGCTACTCTCTCTTCCAATGGAGTTTAATTAATTAAAAAAGAACTCAAATTAACGATGAAAGGAATGAGAATGCATGCACTAGCATGCATGGCGAAGCGGCCATAACACCCTCAAGCACTGCATTGGGCAAACATGGATAATTATAACAATCCCAAGCTGAAAAAGCCAAATTCAAATGCATAATAAATTGAAGAAAACAAGAAAAAATAAATTGAATGCATAAAAGGACTAACATCAAGACAGTCAGATGGTCGAATTAAAAAAATTACTGCATATGTGAGCCAGAAAAGAAGGACTCTGAATCTTTTGCACAAGAGAAAGCTTATGCAATTAAATGAAGAAAAAATAATGAACAACTAAAGGGAGGAAGAAGGAAAGATTATCTCTTACCAGTTTACAAAATTTGCGTCCTTGAAACAGAAAAACTGAAAATGACGGGTAAAGAGAGGACTAAGGGATGCAAATTGAAGAATTGAACCCTAGGGTGGCGTATCTCTATCTCTCATATTAGAAATTTCTCGGTTCTTGACTTCCGAGACTGCGAGGAGCAGGACGAACCAAGTAGGGTTTGGCTTATCGATACCAATCCGACCTAGCGTTCCAACCGCCACGTCGGCATTAGCGGCCTTAGTAGTGAAAAATTATTTGGCGGGGACTCCTATGTAACTTTACATTCATACTCTAATAAAATACAATCACATGATGCCCTAACGATTAAACGATAAATTTTAATAATTAGCATGTGTTTTCAACTTATTGAGTAGCATGACGACCCGACCCGGATCAAATGCGAAAATTAAAAAGAAATGTGCTAATTTCTAAGGTTTAAGATTTTTGTGGGCGATTTTTGCCACCTGAGATATGATTTTTCCTAAGAAGATAGTTGAGAAAGAAAAGAGAGGAAGAGGCTATGAAAATAAAAATCGGGTTGGAAGACATCGACTCCTACAAGATGGAAGGAATTATGTAAGAGACGCAAAACATTTAGGAAGGCTTACCGCAGTGAACTACAGGTGATAAGTCGGGGATATTATCGGTAAATTTTAAACTCAAAAGATGTTTTATTATTTTTCATTTGAAAATGAAAAGATTTTAATGGCTTAGGGAGTATCGTTCAATTTTTTTTTTTTTTTTTGCTTCTTCAAATTTATATTGCTCTACACATGCTTAGATGCAAGCTTGGATTCTGTTTGCAAGTCCAGATAAAAACACAATTTGATATGTATTATTATTGTGTATTACCGCTTCTATGTACCTCTATGTTCTGCATTTGTGTGTCGTTTCTGTGAACCTATGTGTACCACTTCTATGTACCTATGTATACCGGTGTTGTGTATCAATGTGTACCAGTGATTTTTGTGTACTGTCATATTTATATCAGAATATTAGATATGTTTTTTTTCTTGTGCATAGGATTTTTATAACTCTAAGAAAGAAGCATATGATATATATTTTCACTATGCTCATAATCTTGGTGTAAGTGTTTTCAAAGAACGTCACAGTTTTTGGCCTAATTCGAGAAAAATAAGATCGACGGACTTTGTCTGTTCTAAAGCTGAATTTAAGAAGGGTATTGGCTAAAATTCTAAATCAAAAAAATGAAATCAAACCGGATGTCTTGCTATGATTAGATTTTTAGTGGATAAAGATGGAGTTTGGACGACGCAAAAATGCATAGAGAGCCGCAAATCACAAATTAACTAGGCCAAAAGATCAACATCTGCTTAGATAATGTAGGAATATTAGTAATAATGAAGCATCAGTTCTTAAATCAATGACAGAAGCTGGGATAAGAACAATTGATGCATTTACTTGCCTACCTGATGAAGTAGGAGGTGTAGAAAATGTAGGATTCTTTAAAAGTGAGGCATAAAAATACATTTAGAAAGAGAAAAGAACGAAGATTAAGAATAGGGACACTAATTCCCTATTTGAACTATTTAAAGAAAAATTAGTTGAGATAACATGTTTGCATGGGACGTCCAAACTAATGAGGATGATAGATTATTGAGTTTTTTTTTTTTTTTTGATGGGTTGGGATGAATAAATTATTACTGCTTTGGAGATGCGATAATTATTTTTACTAGTTATAGACTTAACAAATATAATTTAGCTTGTGCATCCTTTGTTGGAGTTACTAATCATTGGCATAATATTCTGTTAGGGATGACATTTTTATCATAGAAGACTATTGAATTATTTATCTGATTATTTATAACTTTTTTTACTAATAATATGTGATAAAAAACTCATAACAATATTTACTGACCAGGATCATGCAATAGCTAGGGAAATAAACATTGCATTGCCTCAGCAAGCCATACCTTGTGTCAATGGCACATCAGCAAGAATATGTCTAAGGTGTGGTGCTTCAATAGCAACAACAAAGTCAAAGGCCTTTTTTTATAGATGTTTAAGCAAGTGTGATCCTAATGAGGTGTTCGAGAAAACCTAGGTTGAAATGATCACTAAAGGGTTCCTCTAAAGTCATGACTGGTTGAAGGAGCTTTACAGAATTAGAAACAAGTTGTCAACAATATTTAATAAGAATCATTTTAATCTTAACATTCTTTCAACACAGCATAGCGAGTCCACTAACAATGTATTCCATAACAATTTCAAACCAACAAGTTTCATAACTAATTATTTTTTAGGCTTAGAGAATGTGGTGATAACTTGGCATCAGAATGAATAGGATAAAGATTTTATATGCAGCCAGTGTGAGATAGTACATTTAATAAAAAATAACCCTAAAATAATCTGCCTAATTTTATTAAAGAAAATTATATAGATTTATTTAAGAAGAGTTTTAACATGATGTGGGTGGAATGTGTATAGATCACGCGTCAAGTGACTCTACATTTTTTGTCAAAAGCGTCGAGAAGATTAATCAGTCAAACCATTGGATTATTCATTTTGATGCAAAAAAGGGTACCATACAATACAACTGTGGAAAGTTTGACATGATGGGTTTAGTAAATTCTCACTACATGAGAGTTATGAGGCAGTTAGATATAGTTAATATTCCTTCAAAGTACCTTCTGCTGAGATGGTCAGCTAGAGCTAGGAAGTATATTCATGTTGGATGAACATTCACATGTATGGGAAAGAAGGCAATCCCATCTCAGAAAGGATGTAGTGGTATGATATTCAGGAATCATCTTAGCATATTTGAATATCAAATTAGCACACGAGCATAGGGGAATGAGGAAGAAGAACAATATATGTTGGTTGCAATGACTGACATGGTTGAAAATGTCGACTGGATCTTGGATGAAAAAAAAAAAGAACCACAAGTTTGTTAGCAACACAGGTGGTGGTTTTAAATTGAAAGACCCACTCAAGTACAGGCCTAAAGGCATATCTAATTCAAGATTGAAGAGTCACTGGTAAATGAAAAAATGTAAGAAAAAGAAACTTGTAGAATATGCCACTATAATATAATAGTATGCACCTAGAGAACTAGTGAGTAAGGTGTTCTTTAATATAATAGAATGCTTCACAAATCAATATATTCTCGGTAGATCAAAGGCCTAGCCGACAATAGAATATTTATAAATGGTGAAGGGAATAATTGAATCAAAGAAATATGGATAATGCATAATTATTTCAATTTGAAATTCTAATGTGTAGAACAAAAATTTCATTATGTATTTCATATATTCATTATAAAGTTTCATTGTGTATCTTATTATTCATTTATAAATTCATTATAAAATTTCATTGTAAAACTTCACTTTGTACTACTTTGTTTAGGGTACCGCTGTGTACTGCTATTGTGTACCTCTGTGTACCGCTATATATTGATGTGTACTGCTTCTCAGTATCGCTGTGTACTATTGTGTACCACTATATATCACTATTTATGGTGGGTAGTTGTAGCAGTTCAGTTATTTAAGCAGGGTTTTTGTAACATTTTATGGTGGGTGGTTGTATCTTTACTGCTATTTAAGATGGGTAGTTGTAGCATTTATGTTTTTTAAGGCGTTTCACTAGTTCTCTTCAGCAGATGTGTACCTTTGTAAGCTTTTCAATTATGCTCTATAAATTGCATTGGCGTGAGATGTGTAAATCTCTAGGTATGCCAACGAAAGACTTCATCAACATTGCCACCAACATGATACATGAATGTATGTCAAAGTGTTCTGATAATCCACTTGAGCAACAAGCAAGGGCAAATGAAATATACATATATTGTGTGTACACATGGCATAAATGTTGTGATTATGTACTCCAGATTTCATATGGACAGGCAATGGTACGTTGTTGAGGGCAACATAATATGAGTTTTTCTTAATGCTAGAGGTCGTAGATGTGTGGAAAGTAAATTTTTTGAAAAATATTACCACCTAGTTAGTGCTCACTTCCTTCAAATGTGCTTTCATGATCTCCGGCGTAACAAAGGCGAATGCCGCACTTCCAATTTTATAGATAGGATAACTTGTGATGCAGATAATATCATTTTTAGGATCCAACTGAGGATGCATTTATTATAGACTTGTATAATCAAGTATTGAAGAAGTTGGTGTGTGGAGGTAAATAAAAGAAGTTGCTAAACCTAGTTGATTCGCAAGATTTACAGTTCGAGTTGATGCAAGGTTTGAATGTTGTCTAATACAAACTCAATTTCAACAACATGTGTGCCAGCACTTAAGGAGTAGTTTCAATTGTAGAAGTTGAGCTCAAGCATCCCTTCCCTCAACTATAGAACTTGAGCTCTTGAGCATCCCTTATGAACCATAATTCTAGGTTAGGTTAACTGAACCTAGGGATCTTCCATCATTCATAATAAATTTAGTAAAATCAAAAAATTATAATATGACTTGTAACAAAATGTACCTTAACTGAACATAGAAGTTAGGAAATATATTTTACCCTAAACCCTAAACCCTAAACCTTAAAAAACTTTAAACCATAAACCCTAAATCCTAAACCTTAAACCCTAAACCCTAGAGTCATTCTAATATAAAAAGTCAAGTGTCTATAATGTTGAATAATAATTCTATTTAAAAATAAATAAATAGATAAAATTATAAATAACTCCAAATGAGTTAAAATGTCAAAGAATCATTCTTAGGTCATCAATGATCTCTAGTCCAAATTTTATGAAAATTTGAGTTCATTTTGTAGGCAAATAATAAACCTTAATTTGCATCTCAAGCAAACCCTAATTCTCATATTGAAAATTCTAGACTTCATAACTAACTCTAGAAAAATTAGAAAAATAGTGCATTAAACTCTCAATAAACCCCAAAATAAAAAATAAATAATTAATAAGATTTGAAAATAAAAAACCTCTCTCTCCTAAACACAAATTATAATCCATTAATAAATTCAATAAATCATAATTAACTTCAAATCGACTACAATTTTAGGAATCCTTTTTTAAGTCATTCTTGATTTATGAGAAAAGCTTTCTAGAGAATTGAATCTATTTGCTAGATTAAAATACAACAACTGAGTATTCCAATTGGCCTAAAATTTAAAAATTCCTCAAAAAATTCATATAAAATATTAAAATACAAAAAAAAAAAAGAAATCTCAATGATCGTTGGAAATAGTGAGAAATAAAATATAAAAAAATTAAAACTTTATTTTAGTATATATTTTTAATAAAATACATCAGTAAATCATAATAAATTAGAAACACTTAAAATTGACTTCAAA